AAGGCATATCTCACGTTGTTCACGTGTGCAGTTACCAGGGCAGTGCACTTGGAAATGGTACCAGACATGACGGCAGAAACATTCCTGTGTGCGTTCCGACGATTTGTATCAAGAAGAGGCGTGCCAAGGGTGATCTACTCTGACAATGCGTTGGCATTTAAGAGAAGCTAGAAAGACTTAAGCGAGCTTTGGAATATTTTACGAGATGAAGAAGTGCGGAATTACTTCGCAAACAGCAGGATACAATGAAAGTTCATTGCAGAACGTGCCTTGTGGTGGGGCGGATTTTATGAGCGTTTGATCAGGTCTGTCAAGAACTCTTTGAAGAAAGCCATCGGACGACGAGTCCTGACAGAAGAAGAGTTAGTGACTCTCCTCACTGAGGTAGAAGCAATCATCAATTTTCGACCATTGACCTACGCGTACAGTGAAGCGCAAGAGCCTCAGCCACTATCACCGTCGCACTTCACGACAGGGAAAAGACTTACGTCGTTACCAAAACCGTCCGGTTCCGACTTGCAAAACGGAGACGCAGAATCGCTGCGAAGGCTTGGAAACTCGGAGAAGAAATTCCTGAAAGCGTTCTGGCAACGATGATCAAAGGAGTGACTAACGGAACTCCGATCACTGTACAAGACAAGAAGGTCAAACTGACATCTCAAAGTTGGGGACCTTCTTCACAAAAGCCAGCAACCACGCCAGCTCTGGAAGATGGGAGTTGTGAAAACATTGTTTTCCGGAAGAGACGAAAGAGTATGAGTCTGCGAGATCCGACTTCCCGCTGGTGCGGTTGTAAAACGACCAATACAACTTGTGTACGGGCTAGAAAGTGGCTAAAAAATGAACTTTGTTTCCTTTTGGTGGGTAGATGAAGAATGGGACCGGACATTTCATTGAACACCATTTCATTGAACGCCGTTTCATCGAATACCGTTTCATCGAACGTCATTTCATCGAACACCGTTTCATCGAAGCCGTTTTATCAAACGCCGTTTTATCGAACGCCGTTTTATCGAACGCCGTTTTATCGAACGCCGTCTTATCGAATGCCAGGGTGGCATTTCCGCCTCCTAAAGCTAGTCAGAGGTGCCCATCCCGGGTTCGGGAAGTTTTTGACTTGCATCGCCGCAGTAGATTAACTAACGGAAGACAAGCTTGAGGCGATGCTGAGTTCCCAAGAGCCTCCTCGCCAGAAGAAAGCCATAGCGGCAAGAAATGAGAAGATCCCCCTTTTTTATGAGAATCGACGGAGCATGGCTGTGGGGGACTTTTTGAGAGCAATAAACCTCTTGGCGAATATGTGCTGCCACCTAGACACGGGACTGGGTTCGGGGCTAAATGGCGAGAAAACAACGCGCGCGCAAGGCCTCTCCCACCCGTTCCACACCCAAAACGTCAGCTACATCCTGTTCACCCATTGAGGCGCTGTGACCTAGATACGGCTCCCCCAAACTCGCCTTTGTCTCCATCGTGCATAATCTTCCGCCCCGAAGTCGACACAACGAAACCATCTTCCCTCTCTGCTTGGGCGGAAGGAAGAGAGAGAGGGCACTGGAACCATTTACTCTCGAACCGATGCTTCTACAAAAGGTCCATTGCTTAGGCCCGCTTCAGATGGGGCAACTTTTCCAGCAATTTTGAGGTTGCTGGCGGGTTGTTCCCTAGCTTTCCCTAGATCGACGCGAATTGCTGAGATCCGGCTCGAACAAGCGAGCAACTCGGAGCAATTCGAAGACGGTTGAAGCGGCTGCAGCCAATCAGAGACGCAATATTTTCACGTGACACCCCTGTGGTGGTGATGATGACAGCTAAAGACTTAGTTCTGGTTTGGAATGGATCGTTTTCGGAAATAAACAGTTTCAGAAAAGTGAGTTCGTATTCTCAACGCCGTTCAAAGATATAAGAATGCGTTTTTACCGCGTAGCTGGACGTCTAAATAGTAAAAGAAGAATCAAATTTAATGATGATGATGGCAAGTCGGAGCAATTCGATTGCTGCGTGTGAACGCGGGCAGCCCGTGTTGCTGGAGTTGCGACGTCAAGTTGCTGGGCGAAATAGACTACTTCCATAAAGCCCTGCATGCAACACGGCGCGCGTTGCACTCTGGGAACTAGTTGGCCAGGGAGGAGGGTGGCATGGTTTCGGTTTCGATCGACACGTCGACAAGAGATTGTTTTCTGGTCCCGAGAGCGTCATTTGTGGTCTCTAAACTAAGCTAAATGGTCATACCTCGAAGCTTTAGCACAATCCAGAGACGTATAGCTTGTCTTAACACATGCTTGTCGTATTTTTGTACTTGAGCCCTCCTGTTAGCGTTCCAATCGAGGTATGTGGACGAGCCAGTGCTGGGAGTCTCGACGCTGCGAAGCTCGGGTGCTCGGGGATCTTGCTTGTGTACGAATCAACAAGCTGTAGCAACCAATAAGTATGCATACATCGAGCTCGCGCCTTTACATTAGTGTTGTTGATCAGGAAGTTTGCTTCGTGCGTTCATAGACGAAATATTACTTTTTGCAATTGCTGTTTTTCTTAATGTGCCTGAGTACGCGAGGTAGAACTCGGAGGTGCCATTGAAAAGCTCAATTTTAACACACTTATCTCTTATTTGTACTGACCCGCAGCACTGCACGAAGTGAAGTCCCTACCCACTTGCATTCCACTAATATTCGACATCGCGTATGCGCATGAAGTTATCCTGCAATCATATAGGCAAATTCGCGCATACAGGCCGTTTTAAGAATGCAAAAGTCGAGCACTTGTGTGAAGAATGTCGCACCGTTCGCCGGTAGTGCGTCAGACGGGCATGAACCCCTATATTGGGGTCATATCACAAGAGCGAATGACATTTTAGCGAACGGCAACATTTGAGCGAATGGTCGTTTTAGCGAATAACGGGGGCGCGCGTTAACCCATCCGTCGCGCTGCGCTTTACGCCGCTTCGCGGCGACAGTCTGCGGCAACTCATTACAAAAATATGAACTCATTTGGCCCACCCGAAAACGCCGCTTCGCGGCGTCCAACTATTCGCTAAAGTGTCGTTCGATGAAACGTGGGCGTTCGCTAAAACGTCATTCGATCAAGTGAGTGCCTCCCCCGGCGCACGGTGCGACATTCTTCAGACAAGTGCTCGAACGGATTCAAAGCGCATTTGACGACTGCTAATGGCCATAATATTTGTTATGTGTTTGCTTTCTTCCTGCCTGAGTATGCCGAGATAATTTCAGACACACCGTTCCCGGCACAGATCTCGGGCGTCAGTAAAAGCTCGTCCGAAAAGGCTTAGCGAGGAGTAGGGGACGCTTGTTAGGGCCTCCGTCGTAGCTAGCCGATCTCAGCGTTTGCGAAAAGTTAATCTTCTATCAGCATACAATTCTAGTGGGAGATATATGATGACACGAGGAAGACATCATAGTACCTTTTGTGCAGTAGTGAGGTCGAATTTATTGCGTTTCCTTAAAAGTTCATGCGTAAACGCTGGCCTCAACTTTGATACCCTGCGAGGATGCGGCTTGCTTTTCGCCCAATGAAGTAACGAGAAGCGGACATTTGGCAAACAAAATGCGTGTAAGGCTCCAGACGAACAAATTTCAGTTGTAGTTCTCTGGTACTAGACGGGATTACTGACATTGAGCTCAAAGATCCACTCGTGGGGTGAGGTGACTAAGCCACGACTTACTACGTTCGCGTACGCACGCACAATATCCAGTGTTTCGGGAACCAAGGAAAGTGCCCCGGTCTTCGTTTTGTATCGCTCGAGAATGAGTGTATTGTACCTTCGTGAAAAGTCAGGTAAACGAAAATGCAAGCAGCGCGTTCGGTCGCGGCGTGATAGCATGAGATGAAGCTGCTCAGTCGAAACAGAAACTGAGTGGCCAACTAGTTCCCAGAGTGCACTGCGTGGTATTTCGCCGCGATGGGGCGCGTCGGTTTTGGAAGAAGTCCATTGCCCTGTCTGAAGCGGGCCTTATCATTTGAAACGGTGAATGGCTGTCGCACGAACACATGAACCCCCGAAAGTTTTTAAACACAATTTGAAGTGACGTACTTACTTTTGATTTCATTGAATCTTAGAAGTAAAAAAAAAAAAAAAAAAAACAATGTTTTGTTGTGGTAGCTTTGGGCAATAAAAAAGTATCAATAGCAATACATGAGAGGCTAGGAGGCTCACATGGCTAACATTTTTGCGACTTTTTATTTCATCAAGGCCCATCGGGTAATACAGAGGGGATGAATAGATAAGCACAATATGCGACACAAACATAAAAATCGGTACAAATATCCTCATGGGTTACTTGCATAAAAATAAATTGTGACGGCTACAAGTTTGGACATTAAAAAACCTGACGATGAAATGAGATGACACGAAAATGCACTCGATCCGTGCCATCTTTCACACTTTTTATATAAAAGACATTTGATGAAATGGCCGTCAGCGATTCGATGAAACGCCGTTTCATTGCTTCGGCTCAATGGTTTCGACAAACAGAGCCTGGGTTCGTGCGTTCGTGGTGCGTGTGTTAATAAATTTCTTGTACCATAACCCCCCTCCCCCCTTTTGCGTGTCCCGCATTTCTGCTCGCAGCATATTTTATTTCTTGAAGATCTGTCATAACACATTGCAGCACTCAAGGAATCATTGGACACAGCAAACATAAAAGACGACCTATTTATTTGCGGAACACACGCTCCGCAACAAACCCGAACCAGAAACGTTCTCGGCTCCCTGCCATGGCGGCCGGAAGTGGCCGGCGACTGATCCACTGATCTCTGGCACATTTGATTTGTTTTGAGCGTTTTGAGCGGCTGCTAAGGCCATAGTGCTTTGCCACATTTACGCTCAATTTTGTTCAGTGTAAGCTTCAGCTACATAGTGGAACTAAATATTGAGCTATATTTGCAAAGAAAAGTGGAATATCAATTTTCATTAGTTCAGCAAGACCAAGACGAAAGCTCTGTTGAACTGGGAACTGGAGTCGCCATAAGCATTGCCCATTGCTTTTCTTTTGGAGTTTGTTTTTGCGTGTTTCGTTTCTTTGTTAGCTTGGGTGCCGCGCGGTTCGGTCTTTCTTGATTTCCTTTTAATGTGATATTGGTAAAGGATGTCCAAGTGCGGAACAACTGGGTCCGGGAGCACGTGAGTTTAGCCAGCGCTGTGATACGTATTTCCGTTTTAATCAGTTGTAACCAGCTGATGTTCTCTAAAGCTGATTTCGAAAAAGCTCGAGGAAAGGCTTAACCCAGGATCAAGTGAAATGGATCAACCGAAGCGGCCGAATCACGCCAGTGATCGGGCCACCGCAACTAACCCCAGAGCCGCTTTTGTACGAATTCTGAGTTACGGGTTATTTTATACATGCCTTGCACGTGGGAGGCACTTGCACGTGACGTCACGCTAGGGAAGGCCGAGGGCCCCGCGCCATGCTGGTGGTTGACTTCACACCGTGCGGACGCGCTTCGGCCCGCTTCAGACGGGGCAGTTTCTCCCAGCAACTTGACGTCGCAACACGGCTCGCCCGCGTTCACACGCAGAAACCAATTGCTGCAATTTTCAATCATCATCATTACATTTTATTTTTCTTGCACTATTTAGACACACAGTTCTGCACTATTAATGTGTTTTTGTACCTTTAAATGGCGTTGAGAATGCTAACTCATCGTTCAGAAACGGTTTATTTCCAAAAAAACGATAAATTTCAAACCAGAACCAAGTCTACCGGAACCAAGGGGGATTGCATGAAAATATTGCGTCCCTGGTTGGCTGCTGCCCCTTCAAACACCTTCGAATTGCTCCTAGTTGCTCGCTTGTTTCAAACTAGACCCGATCTGAGCAATTCTGTCGATCTAGGGAAAGCTGGGAAACAACCTGCCAGCAATCCCAAAATTGCTAAGGCCCGCTTCCGACAAGGCAATTTCACCCAGCAAATTGACGTCGCAACACCAGCAACATGGGCCGCCCGCATTCACACTCAGCAACCGAGTTGGTATGATTTGCCATCATCATCAAAAATTTGATTTTTCTTGCACTATTTAGATGCACAACTATGCGCTAAAAACATGTTTGTACATTTTTTAATGGAATTGAAAATACTAACTAATTTTTCTGAAACGGTTTATTTCTAAAAACGATCCTTTTCAAACCAGAACCAAGTCTTTAGCTGTCATCATCACCACTACAGGGGCATCACGTGAAAATATTTCGTCCCTGATTGGCTGCTGCTGTTTTAAACGTCTTCGAGTTGTTTGAGTTGCTCATCCGTTTCGAGCCGGACCCGATCTCAGCAATTCGTGTCGATCTAGGGAAAGCTAGGAAACAACCCGCCAGCAACCTCAAAATTGCTGGAAAAGTTGCCTCGTCTAAAGCGTCCTAAAAAGTTTCCCCGTCTGAAGCGGTCCTTACTAAGGTGTAGGATGCCGCTAACTGCCCGGACATGCGCTGGCATCAGAGATGGGCAGTATTTTAAATACAAGTATTTGAAACACGTATTTCAAATACTTTGTGTATTTTGCATTTGTATTACAAATTGGGTAATGTATTTGACGTGTGGATTTAAATACTAAAACGTGGGTATTTCAGATACAATTGTAATTAAATACAATTTTGTGGGCAAAAATACATCCCTCAAATTTATTGTCACTGTCCAGAGCAGGAAGAAAACTATGTTCTGCACCGAATGCAGTGACTCTCAATCAAGCACAAACGTTTAGTGACTGTGATTGCGGTGCTATAGTCGGTTACAAGTCAAGAAGGTAGCGGCAAATGCCCCTCAAAGGGAATCTTGTATTCCTCCGCCACCAATCGCGTCCCGTTGTTTCCGTGACGTCACGACCTGCCCGAATCAATCTTGTTCTGGCAAATGAATATTTTCAACATGGCTGCCGGGCAGATTTTTTATGACTTGAGTATCTTGCAGCAATTATTCTGTTTTTTAATGTGGTTTTTCACTTACCCGAGCATACGTTGCTAAGTCGTAACCGCGTCCACTTTTATTCGCAATAGGTTCTGCGCGACAGCGTGAGAATCGAGCGATAGCATTGCCATCATCATCATCATCATTTATTTTCCTTGAGGGCCCATGGGGCATTATACAAGGGGGTGGCAATAGAACAAAAACAAATAGAACAGTAAATACAAAATTTCGATGCGGGAGTAAGGCCTAGCGTTGTACATACATCGAAAGCCGTCTGCTCCTCTGCCTCAGGTTGCGCCTCAACATCGTGAAGGCATCGGCTTTTCTTCGCAGTGGTTTCCGTGGAGCGACATTAAAATGCAGCGGTCACCAAACTCTTCTTTATAAGTGTAGTGGGCTGTACGGGAGGGGCATAAGTGAACCGCGAACACAGTAAGTGTCTTTACCCAATTTCGACCGTATCTTTGCTGACGTTAATAAATAGTCTGTCTACTGAAATGACGCCTTCGAAGCAGTATGCATTCATCTGTGAAACGTGGCGTCCTTGTCAAGTTTCCGCGTCGCAATGAGCTGCACGGTAATCTATGATTGCGATAGTACCCGCGGGTGCACCCTCGTTCGCAATAATGAGCTGTTACATACTGGTGGCACACAAATGATAAAGCCAGTGATGCGTATGTTACAAACATTTTTTTGATATTGTTTTGGACGTTAAGAAGCTGATGTCTTCTTTTGGAAGAAATACCAGAGAATTTGAGGGAAGCAGATTCGGTTCTCTCAAATGCTTCCAAACATTCTGCTTGCTCTCGAGGCGCTGTCAGTCGTATGTTTATGCTTCGAAACCCGGGTACGTGACGCGTGTACCTCCACTCGCGTCGCGTCGAGGCCTTAGGTATTACCAGTAAACACGCATCAATTTTTCCAATTTACTTTAGAAGGAAAATGTGTCCACAATATTGGATCGCAGCATTGGTTTAATAATTTGTAAAAGATGAAAAGTATGTCAATAAAAATTGATTGTAAGGGCAGCTTCCCGCTTCATGAATTGTGGCTTTCTTATATGCGAAATATTTGTTTAAATCAAGAATTGAAAACATACCGAATACTCATGATGTCCTGATCTTGGTCCGAATGCAAATGGCAGAATGATTTGTCTTTATAACAATAAAATCAACAATGTTTGAATCAAGCAACAGCTCAAACCGCCTAATTACATTTCTGATGTATGTTTATCTCTGGATTATACCAAGCCGTAGCTGCGATCGAGCTCTTCAGAATCTGCCATCGTCTTTCTGGTCTACCTTGGCAAAGACAGACTCGTGTAAAAAACATTGAGCTTCTTGGAGGCAACCTTGCAGTCCTAATTAGGGATGTCGCGAACTACCCTAGGTTCGATTTCGAAAGGTTTCGATATTTGCGAAGCGAACTGAGGTTCGATTTCGAAAAATTTCGATATTTTCGTACCGACCGAGGTTCGATTTCGAAAATTTCATAACTTTTGACCACAGTGGAGTTTCGAATTCGAAAACTTCGAAGCTTTCACGGTTTCTAAAATTTCGAATTCGAATATTTCGAATATTTTTTTACTTCAGGTTCGATAAATTCGAAGATTTCGAAATTCTTTGTAAAAAAAATTCGAAAACTTCGAACGCTTCGAATTTTTATAGACATGAAGTTTGAACAATTCGAAGATTTCGAATTTCTTTCTGCATAAAGTTCGAAAACTTCAAAGGTTTCAATTCTCTTCTAACGCCAAATTCAAAAAAAGAAAAAAAAAATTTGAAGATTTTGAATTTTTTTATAATCCAAGTTTTGAAAGTTCGAAGTCCGATTTTCAAGTTTTTCCACAGTTTCAGTTTCAAATAACGTTTTCACAACTCACTTGTTCAAAATCAAGTTTAGAAAAGTTAAGGTGTGATATCTAGATTCTACGAAGTTGGTCAGGCAATTAAATGAGACGACGAGTGTCCCGGACGTGCTAGAATATTTGCCAGTGCAGAATTGTGACCGCCAGCCCCGGGTGGGGGGGGGTCTTTAACCTGCATCATGCAGTAGTGATCACACGAACACACTGTTTTACGAGACTCATCCAGTTCGAAACGGCCAGGGGCGAGCAGGAGATTGAGGCTCAGAAAAACTTTGAAGCGACCTGGCAAACTACCTCGCCACCAGGGTTGTAAAAGTTACTTCAAAAATGTACCTAAGATACAGTTACAGCTACTCATACAAAAAGGTACTTAGGTACGTACCTAGGTACTGGCTTAAAAAGGTATCTAGGTAAAGGTACAGTTACTTTAAATATACTTTATTTTCCCCGAATTCGTAAATATATATTGGAAGTAAAGCTTTTTATACTAAGGATAAACACAAAAACGAGTTCCATAAAAGTGCTTTATTGGTGTCAATGCTAGAAATAAGGAAAAGGGTATTCACATGAGCCGGTGCTGACGTCGAAGGGCCCAGCCAGAATACGTCGGCCGCATGAAGAAACGCATGAGTCGAGAGCATATGCACCTAACCTTTGCGACATCAAGCGAAAGGCTTCAAGCTTCCTCGTTTTTTTTCTTCTTTCGCTAGTTTGAAGAAAAATAAGCTTTTTTTTTTTTTTTCTTTCGGAACTTTTTCAGTTTTGATAGCCGCCAAATTTGAGTCCGATGTATTCAGTGGAAACTGTATTATATCTGCGATGTTACATTTCTTTATGGTTATGATTATAATTCATTTTCAATTATATCTTATATTGTATTTATGGCAAAAGAGAGCCACCACCAAGACAAGATACAGGCAACAGAAATTGTGCACATCTTTCAAGTTATCTGTTCTATTGTATAGCTGTCAGAGGAGCTTCATACACGCAATAAAGTCAATTTCAATTTGAGATGAAGGAAGCTGGTCGCTATTTTCCTTAAACGTTGTTCCGAAGCAATTCGATATATTGGTGTCGCTTGAACGGCATCGCTAATCCACTATTCGCTCAAATGAACACCACCATTCGCTAAAGTGTCGTTCGATGAAAAATCATGGACGGAGCTTCAATTGCTAAAACGTTGTTCGATCAAGTCAGTGCCTCCCAGGTCGTACCCAACTCAACGTTTATCACGTCACATGATAGTGTGTTGATACTTCAAGATTTATAGTTTCTACCATTTTGAAGTGAATAAAAAAGTACCTGTAAAAAGTAACTTCACTTAGTTACAAGTTACTGGAAAATGTACCTAAGGCACAG